TGGTGAAAAACCTTGGCTCTGAGTGTGCACCATTCATGGTAATGTTGAACAGCAGAGTGGTGCAGTTACCCCATGGTGTTAAGTGCAGTCTCCGGCCCGTGTCCGTTCTACCTCTCTGGCCTCTCTGTGTATGTGTCATGTGGAAGGGCCATTGCCTGAAACGTCACGTATTATATATTTTGTATTTTAAGGTCACATAGTTATTGGCGAGCGCCCTACACAAAGTGAGGCTTCAAGTTTAGTCAAACGCAACGTTCAAGGAAACTCTATAAAAAGTCAAGCCTGCATTTGAAAAAGAAATTCACCCTAAAAGCTAAATCTAATATGCTCAGCATGACCATCAGTGCCTATATAATAATAATTAACATACTGCTTGTTATACGGCAATACGCTACCACTGTATTTCACGTGATATTTTTATCACACGTTGGGACTGCAGACAGCTTCATCATGAGTTAATCTCTACACATAAGTTTCAGGTCTGTTCTAAACTAAGTTATAAAGACTGAAATTATATTCCCAAAAATCAGAAAGGTTAAGAAATGGCGACGCACGCGGCTGTAGTCGAGCCGAGGCGTGTGACGACGTTTTTTTAAAAGTTAATTTTAACAAAAGTAAAACCGCCGTGTCAACTCTCACGTCAATTACATTGGAACAAAACTATTTTGATGAATTTGGTAGGAGTAAAGAAACATATTTGAGTAATTATTTCAAGGCCACTTATTTTACTTATTTCCATCTGATGTTGAAATGTCTAACAAATGATAGTGGTGGCCAGACAGATAATCCAGATGTCTGAGCAATGAGCCCGTCAACCTCTGGTGAGATCCTAGAGTGGAATCCATGCGACCGTCTGTGATAATACGTTGTTTCTCAGGGCTAGCGAATCCATGGGCTCAGCCTTGTCAGCAATAACTGCACGCAGAAAAAAACAAACCACAATCAAGTAACAAAATTGCGGCCGCACTTAATCCCGCGAACTGTCCATTTCTGTGACTTTAAAATATCCGCTTGACTGTCGCGTGACAAACATACGTAGCGGGTGGGTGATAAAGTGCGCCCCCTGCTGTGTGGACCAGAGGTCGTCACCATCACAGAGGTGGCTCTGTGATGTCCACTTCTGCGGGCGTTCATTCACACACAGGGCGGGCGGGGGGGGGGCTTGCACTGCTGTGTGAGAGATCCCAGTGGACTCTTCCTCTCGTGACGTCACAATGATGGTACAACGGGGATCGAGTTGCGTAAAAAGAACAAGCGCCCGAGAAAGGGCGATAGATTAAACAAAATGTGAAATCTCTCACGGGTCATTTGTGAGCGGAGAAGCGGCGACTGCCACCTGGCGCCCGCCGCGATGGCACCACCCCCATAGCGGTGGGCCCGGTCAAAGCCTTGGCCGCAGCTGGCCATTGTGTGCCGCAAACAAACAAAATATTTATTCTCGAGCTAAATCCCGCACCCCCCCCCCCCCAAAACAAAGCAGAGACTGTGGCAAACAGTTACTATAGGCAGCACAGCTGGAGTGCAAATAGCCAATCAGCACCTCGCGACAAGCAAGGCGAGCGAGCGCGAAGCGAGAGAGCCGTGGAGCGGAGCGAGGCGGCCAGGGGCGACGAGGGACGAGGATGCGGCGGCGCTTTAGCTCATCGGCGCCTGCGAACGACGAAGCAGCGAGGCGAACTCGCACCGGAGAGGCTCGCAGCAGGCGAACGATGATTTAAACTTTAAATGGTCCTCTTAAATAGTCACCTTAAATTATCCTCTGAAACGGGACTCGCGCATCGCGCGCATTCATTCCGCGAGCACATTTACAACGGCGTTCACGCGGCTTTAACTCCTTTATCGGACATCGAACTCTTTCCACAAGAAGGAGGACTTCACCCTCCTCCCCGGGACACCACCCGCCCCCCCCCCCCCCGTTCATGCGTCCCCAGCCCGGCCTGTGGGGGAACCATGAATTGCGTGGTGAGATCCGGATCACTGCATTTCTCTCGTAAATTCGCGCGAAGCTGACATTGAAGCGGCGTTTTGGAGAATGTGCCGCGCGCGGTTATGAATTGCCCGGCGCTGCCTGCGGGGCGGACGTTGGGACCGTCTTCTTCCTGGCCACTCACAAAATGAACCAAATTTATGGCAACGCAGGAGGAAGGACCGAAGCAGGTGGAGAGGGGGGGGCGGGGAGAGAAAAAAAATCCCAAGATCCCATTATGGATTCCCACAAAACCTTGCCCATATACATCAGCCGCATGCATGCCCCAGAAGGCAATGCTCCGTAAATATAATAATACACTCATCTGTGCAGCCCCGTATCTATAAAGCGGCAGCGTGCGCGTGCAGAAGAATAATTTGTTGTCATGGCGAAAAGGAATTATAAGGTATTCAAAGTGTATCTGTTAGCGTACCCACAGAAAATACGAATCGCATTTCACGATCCACGAATCGCCCCCCCCACCCCTCCGCTCTCTGTATGTGCCCGGCGCTTGTTGAACGACGTCGCTGTTTTGCGGTGCCGCTGTAAAACCCTAACGACGTTTTATGCGCCCAGGAAGAGTCGCGGCAGACGTCACGTGCCGCGTGCGAGCGGAGGAGGGGCACGAGGTCTGGGGTTGACTAAAGATGAGCAGGCGAAGGAAACATCAGAGAGGAGGGGGCCCGACCTCTCCCGCGTTGCTCGCTTGCCGCCTGCGACGCGCAGCGGCGTCTCCGGAGCCGACTGCTGCCCGCCTTGCGCGGCCTCACTCGGCGCACTACATCGTAACGCCGTCCCCCACCACTCCCCTTGGTCACCCGTCATCAATCCATTCGTCGCATTTCCATCTTCATTCATTCCGCGCATCGTCACCACCACCACACGCATATCCCACCCTTTCATCTCGTTCCATCTCGCCAATCATGGTGCACCGTAGTTAGTTCACCGTACAGTGCGTTGGTCAAGGCGCTTATATAAATGCATGATTAGACATCTTACAAGATGGCTGCTCCGGGTCATCGCGTACAAAGCGGAACGGCCACCCGGGCCATCGCGTGAGAGTCACGGGCCAGACCTGAGCCATCACAAAGGTGGCGATCAAAGAGGTGGAAGCTGGAGACCCTGGCGCTCTGAGATGAATCCCCCCGAGAAGCCCGGGGCGAATGGAGCCATGAGAGAGAGGCATTGCTAAAGCGGGCGCTGTAACGGCTTTGATGCTGAAACTGCGGCGTTTTTTTCTGTCTCGACGCTACCGACGCGAGGGTCTTCTTGTCAGTGCGGAGAGAGAGAGAGACAAAGGCGAGCGACTGGGCTAGCACGGCCCAAGCTCGCTCTCCCAGGAGCCCAAAAAACTTTCGAGACAGCCGATGCCCGGCGAGGCGAGAGCGAATTGCCTCTTCGTCCGTGGAAATGCGGGCAGTTTTAGCGCACCGTAACCGCACATTTTTGAATGACATTTAAATTAAAACAAATTACAGAGCTCAAGCCTACGGGGTATGTGTGTGTGTGTCCGTGACGTCTATTTTGCGGGAAGAGCTGTGAGCGAACAGAGCCCCTTGACGAGGCGCTTCCCCGAGGTTGTTCACCATTCGTGCACGTTCCACATTCGCTTGGTGCCACCGTGTTTCTCGTACCTGGTGTCTCTCACGCCCTGGGCTCATAATCTCCTCCCTCTTGATTCGTTTATTGAGTATTGGCTAAGGCCATCTAGCGATCGAACCAAGTGTTGTGTTATTGAGAAACCCTCAGCCGCACGGACACAGTCAAAAAATGTCACCGAGTCGTAAATAAGTTGGCGATGCTGCTGCGTTGGCAGTGGTGCACAAGTTTCGTTCAGTGGTGCACAAGCGCCACCGCTTAACGAAACAACACCGAATGCTCTGAGTTGTTTGTTGTGTTCGTGTGTTACGAATCATAATCGATCGTCTGCGAAATCCTCCACCCGAATGTAATCCTAGCTCTTCATCGCCACCTGGAATCGCGAATGATGCCAACGATTTCGTGATGCCAACGTAATTGGCATCGTTCCTGCAGGGCTCCGATTGAAACCGATCGTCCACTTACGGGCAACGCTTACGAGTTTATGCAATCTCCCATCGCAAAGTGCTCAGAGCCCCGGCAGCATGCAGTCTGCGAGCCAGTCGATCTCTCTAACCCCGTCGCTTCCTTCTCTTGCTCTGACGAAGGGCTTCATGCTCGAAACGACTGTATGTCGGCTGATGTTGTAAGGTGCGTGGTTATTGAGGAATGAGGTTGAGTGTTTTGTGTGCTCTTCTGCAAAAGGACCCGTGGCGTACGATTAATTGCATCAATTGTTTAGAGCTAGGCAATGTGCCGGTTCAAGAAATTCTGTCCCATCGCTTCCCATGAAGCAGTGCCGCAGGTTTAAAATGTTCTGGTCTTGTGTTCAACTCTGTAAGCAAAGGCGGGGTGGAGCTACTGGAGTGATGGAGGCGGAGCTAGCTAGCTGAGTGGGCGTGACCAAATATGTATATTAAAAAAGATGGGCGGAGCTGGTGGAGGGGAGGGGCAACCAGCTTTCACCTTCAGGGAAATTTGAAAAACCTCACGGGAAAGCCGCAGAGTTGCGTGGGCCGCACATGGGTGCAAGAGCTGAGTGTGGCTGGGTGAGCGAATTTGCTTTGCGCATTGGTGACGGCGCCGACTCGGGCTAACGAGCTCGGGGTTATAAAGCACGGCGCCCTCTGTCCTCCTCTCTGCACCGCTGCAGCGCGCGCGGCGCCGTGAGCGCAGAAATCCAACATGCGACCAAAACCCACAAAGGCCACGAAGCATTGCCACGGTCTTACCCTAAGCCCTAAACCCAGCAAAAGCAGCTCGCAGTACCGGCCTCTCCCACCTCCCCTCGCCCACCAGATGCCCAGGGCCGCCCGTTTCGCCACTTGTTCGCCTGTCGCTCTGTTTCGGAGCTCACGGCGCCGACGTGTCGCGCGATCTCCGTCGGGGGTGGGGTGTGTGTGGGGGGAGTGGGGGGGGGGGTCTCCGTCGTCCCGAGTCCGCACGCGGCACTCACCTAGGACGCCCAGCCTGTAGTTGAGCGTGACCACTATGACATTGCCGTAGCTTGCCAGGATGCTGCCATCCAGCAGATTGCCCGTGCCCTCCATGTAGGAGCCACCGTGAACGTACACCATGACCGCCTTGGGCCCACTGTCGCGTATGTCTGCGTTGGGAGACATCGCACACGCACCAAAGACGCACCGCGCACAGGGCACGGCTGTTAGTATCCCGAATAGACGCGCTCGGCAATAGCCACGAGCGGACGCGTTACGCGGCGTGCATTTTGAGACGGGTAACTTATAACGACCTCGGCCTGGCGATGAACACAAGACATCGGCGTCGTTTCCTGCTCAAAGTGGAGTGTCTCACGTTTCCCATTTCCAGACGTGGGCCAGGGAATTCCACAGTGCTATGGCGGTGATGCGTCTTTCCAGAAAGGAAAACCGCTGTTGACTTATCTACGGAAAGTGGTACCTATTTTAATGACCCCCCCCCCCCGAGGGATGATGGGTTGAGCTGACCCTCAATCACCACTGCACGGTCCGGCCAGATTTACTGCTAACCGAGGGGGATGTTCACGATGGTGGGGTGACGTCCCCTCAAGGGCACGGCTCTTGCCTCGCCTCCACTCGCGAGCCGGGCCGAGTACCTCAGAATAAAAACGATAATTTATAGCCCTCTGTCAATCCGCTGCTGGATGAAGGCCACCCCACGCCATGTGTCGGTCACGTCGGTTGTTTGGCCATACTTCGCCACGCAAGTCAGTGCGAGTTGGTGAAGCGGAGGCGGTTTGGGAGGGGAGAGCCAATTATAATAGGTTATCACTCGCCACTGATGCTAGCCGGGAATTAAACTCGGGTAGCAGGGTTCATATCACAGTGCCCAAACCGCTGCGCCACAACTCGCACGGACCGCCCTAATTGCCTTGGAATCGGGCCATAAATATCCCACGGAGCCAACTCCCTTTCATTAAACACCTTCGGGTCGCTCGCTACGTTCGGGACGTGCACCTCGTAATCCGTTTTGCGGCACCGGCCGCACTCCATTAGCCTCGGGCGCAGCACCATCACAGCGCCCCACCGCCACCGCTGACGGAAACGTGAGCGCCCGGCGGCTCCGCCTCCGCACCTTTTGCGTTGGTTTTTTGCTGTTGTTGCTCTGCGACCAAGGCCTCAAGGTCAGGCTCTTAATGACGGGACACAAATCTGTCGCCGGGGCAGTTCCGTCCCGCGCCAAAATTATTGAACTCGAAGGAGGCTCGGGCGGGCGGCGGCGAGTGCCGCGGCCGGCAAGCGGTGGCGAACGCGGCGGAGACGACTCGGGGCACAGGTGCGCTCATCGACCTCCCCGGCGCACTCGCTATTGAGCGATGACGCTTAAATGGCGTCCCTTAAGAGCCTTTCACTTCTAAGGGGGGGGGGGGTGGTGGTGGGGGGGGGAGCGCGCGATCCGCGAGCCGGCGGGGGTCTGTGGATTGCGCGCGGCCAGATGTGCCAGGTGGTTTTGGCATTAAAAATGCGGTAATAATCGCGGCAATGTCCGGCCGCGTGCACGGAATTACTCTTGATGAGGTTTTATGTTTGAATTCGCGGCAATTTGCGTGACCTTGCGTTGAGAGTCTGGTCGTGAACTCGGGCTGGCGCGGATCTCTGAATTCCCAGGCGAGCGGCTCTCAATCACCGCTCACCGCAGAGTGGAATGAGTTTCATTTAACCCGACACACCACGTCCAGCATAACTCCCGCTGTATGGCTGCGGCTACTGGCCACCTACTCCCAAAAAACGACGCCGTTAAAAAAATATTCGGTGAGAAATTAAATCCTGGGTATCACGCACATTTGTGCAACGCTTAGTTCCCAAGCCTAACGTTAAAAGCATAAAATATATATTGTACCCATGATGTACAGATAATTTCCTGGCAGCTTTGATACAGAATGACTACATGAAACACTCGTAACAAGCTGTCTGAGCGATGCGAAGACGCAACCTTTCCGTATTTTCGTGTTTAAGTAGTGGCTGCGCACCCCAGAGGCCATACACAGAGAACACATTCATCGCATCAATTAGGCCTCTGCTTCCCCCCCCCCCCCCCCCCCGCCCCCCGACTCTGGAAAGATTTGCGCGCAGTAGGGGCGGGCAGATCTGAGCCTTGTAGCCGAGTTCACGGCTCCAATGCGAGCAGCTGGTTTTCCAGCCGAATTTGGATTCTGAGCGGCGGCGGCGCCGCCTCCACGCGCGCACGCGGCAGTTTCGGCGCTGCGGTTTGTGAGTGAGCAGCAGCATGTTAATTGCGAGGCGCGCTCATTAGAATGTTTTGCGTGCGCCTCGCCCCCCCGATCTGCTGTCGCCGCTCGGCGTTTCTCGCACCGCGCGCGCGTGCGGGCGCCAGCGTCTGCCGATTGCCCGTGGGGCCCCGAGCGGTGCCATTCCATCTCTGGGCCTGCGGGTTTCCGTGCGCGTTGCTCACGTGCTTGGGTCTAAGAGTTTTTTTAAAATAAATGTATTATTGTAAATGGTTTCAGCTTCAAAAATGTACATATGGCAAGATAACCCAGGGGAAACGTCTGAAAACAGAAGGCGTTTTGTGAGTGGGTCCTTTATCATGGAAATCCCCAATCATTTATGTTTGGTCACGGGAGCACAAAGACCCCGTAGCGCAGCGCTGCAACTTCATCGCACTTCGAGTCGCTGGACACAAAGTGAACGCAGGAAAATGCCGAGCACTAGACTCAGCAGAGAGCGAGGAGGAAGCTTCTGTAGCGCACGGCTCTCTCTGCTGCTCTTTCTCTCTCTCTCTCTGCTGCTCTCTCTGCTGCTCTCTCTGCTGCTCTCTCTGCTGCTCTCTCTGCTGTCGAAGCCGGGGTGCAAGGTGACGCAGTGACGCCGTGGACTCGGTCGATCCACACAGGAGAGCGAAATTAATGAGACGCCGGCGCGAGAATGTTTCATTGGATGTGCATTTGTCCGATGGCGGTCTCATGAATGTAGCCCGACTTATTACGTTGATAGATGAATGGCCATTATTTATGGCTAGGTGATGGGGCCAATGAGAATAGGCGTCTCTCGCAAATTTGTTTAACTGGACAATTGGGTCACAACAAACACAGTACACCGCGCAGCAGCACCAAATGTCAGTATTGAAGCCAAACAAGACGCACAAATTAAAGAAAACAACACGAGAATAATTAATACAGATGACAAACCAAATGACGCATGCCCATGGTGAACAGACCCACAAAAACGAAAGCAAAACAAGAACAAAACATATCACCCGCAAAAATGATCCAAGTTCAATAAAGGGGGGGAAAATGATACAGCTGTCGTGTAAGTTTGTGAGGAGTTGGGCTTCTGGCAGGCAGGGCCCTCGTGGTTGGTCCCGGTCGCGTGAGCCCGAGAGCGTAGGACCGCACACCGAAGAGGTGGCCAGCAGCTTGCCGCTGTGCGGCCCCACGCTCATCCTGGGCCCTGGCGGAGCCGGCTCTGGGCAGGGCCTCTTCAGTCCAACAGCTGCTCTCTGCCACATGTGCCTCGATGGCACTTTGCCGCACATTAGCCTCAGCGAGGTGGCCTCAGTTTCCATAAAGAGGAGACACCAGGCATCTGGCCTCAATGTCACATTGCCAAACATTACTCTCGCCACAGTGGCCTCACTCAATTTCATAGAGGAAGAAGAGGAGGGGGGTGGCACCGGGTCTCGGCACGGGGCGAAACGGTGCATTGCGGTACCTGGCACAGCAGCTCGCCGACTTCCCGTGGGGCGCGGAAATGTGTATCGATAAGGGACACGCGCTCGATCAATGGGCGAGCCAGGAGCAGAATATTGGGGCAGTCAACTGTTTTGGAGATTGAGCCACGGTCACGGAGGCCGGTGCGTAGTCTTCCCTGCACAACGAAAATATCACATTGAATGTGCGTGACCTTGGCAAGCTAAGAAGGTTACGAGCCTGGTGCGTACATAAATAGGTGGCCACCAGGGCTGGGCAGGTGTTGCAGACGTAGGGCTGCGAGGTTAATAGGACGGCAGAACCGGAATGCATTCGCTCAGCAGAATAAGTCATTGCCTTAGATCTATCTGTGGACTAAAATTTCATGTCATGACATGTGCTGTCCGTAGACAGGTCCAAGCGACAACTCTCATCCTCCATGTCGCTCTGTGCGCCACTGCTCTCTTCGTCTGTCCGCACATCCAACGTCGTCGTTCTTTCTCTTCCTCTCCAACTTTTCCCCAAGAATCTTGCCTCCATCACCTCCTTCAACTCATTCTCTCTCATTGTCGACTCCCAAATCCAGATTTTCTTCCTCCAGCTAATCGACTGAATACGTCCCAGTGGAGCCCCCACCTCCTCCTCGCAGATTAAATCGATCTTTGCGGAGATTTTATGTCATCCCCTCCTGTGCGTGGTGGGTTTTCTCCAGGCCCTTAGATGTCCTCCCACAATCCAATGCAGGACCCTCCTAATGATGTGTCTTGGGACTCACAAGGAACATTCACGGTGTGTGTGATGCTCCAGTTTCGATTTTTATAAAAATGTAAATTGACAGTTAGACGGAGATAGAACAGGACTGGTGACAATCGATGCGGTTCTCATGGCCCAAAGGCCGATTATTAATTTTATTTTAAATTAGCCTCAGAGTCGAGCCGCTACTCCTCCGGATCAAGATGAGCCAGTTGAGGCGGTTCGGGCACCTGGTAAAGGATACCCCCGGCAGACTCCCCCCAGGAACTCTACCAGGCAGCAGTACGTCCCACTGGGCGATGACCCCGGGGCCGGCCCAGGACACGCTGGCGGGACGACTATGTCACTTGGCTGGCCTTGGAACGCCTGGGAATTCCCCAGGAAGAACTAGAGTCTGTCGCCTGGGAAAGGGAGGTCTGGAATGCCCTACACAAGATGATGCCGCCGCGACCCTCACCAGGAGCAGAGGATTGAGACGCAGCTCGTGATGGGTGGCACATCTCACGAATGTCGCCTCATCTCAGCCACGGTCCTACACAACTTGCTGAGAGTTTTTATTGAAAAAGACGATGTCCATTTCAAAACAATACTGAGCCGGTGTGAGAGATGCGACTCAGGCCGGTGATCGATGGATCCCGCTTTGAACCACGCATGCTCGTTGACATTCTGGAGCCGAGGAGGAGCCGATACTGGTTGCGTTGTGTGATAAACTGGAGCTTCAGGATAGTATCCGCCCGTTGGGAGAGATCGACATCCAGATGATCCAGGAGAACGCGATCCGATGAAATTTCTCTGGACAAATTCTGCCCTCGTGCAGAAGAAGCGATCATCCAGTGGGCCGACCTCGGCTTTTAGTGGAGCCGATGCGGTCGTCCAACGGGGAAAAGTGACCTAGAAAGAGCTTTGTGGCGTCGAGAAAGCGTTGGTCGCCACGGTAAACGGAATAATAAACAACGCGTTGCGTGTGGAGGGACGTGGACGCAGCTGGTCGAGGGGTAGGTGCAGCGTCTTGCTGCACCTCAAGGAGATGCCACCGATTCCCTTTGGTTGACATCGGAGGGCGTTACACTCTGTGAACGTTCCTCATCACCGAGGCTGGGTGAGTAAATGAGTAAAAGGGAATTATTATCGTCATTTTTATTTCCGACGTAGCCCAAACGCCCACCGGGGATGGCCTGCGATCGACTGCAAGAGCGTCGCCAACTACGTTGACGATAATCAGGCGCTGACAGCAGCGCACGCTGGCATCATCTGCTCGCAGCAGCAGCGCATCAGCCGAGTAGTGACTGCGCGCTCACGGGAATCTTGCAGCAAGCGAAGTGGGGGGGGGGGTGACACTGCAATTGGACTCCAAGAGCACAGACTCGAGGGAACGCGCGAGAGGCGGTTACCACGGAAGTCCATTTGTCATGCGGCTACGGCGCCGTCCCGCCCCTTGGGTATTTCCTCTTCTCAGCTACGTAAATACGCGGACTGCTTCGCAACAAACAGCGGCGTCGGCGAAAATTAAGGGGCCGGCCGCCGGGTGACTGACCGTGCGACCGCGAAAAGGCGCGATCGCGGTGGTTCCGGCTACGCCTCAAGACGACGCCGTCTCTCTCTGGACGTCGGCAACGCCGCCCACGAAACGCAGCGCAGCGGAGGCGAGAAGGTGCGGGCCCTGTCGGCTGCTGTCAGAGAGGCAGCGGCGCTCCCGTGGCGCTGGTCTTAGGTGCGGCTGTTTGTCAAGGCCACCACTTCACTTTCCACCCTTCCTTAACGCAGCCGCAAATTCTAACCTGGTGCTCATTGCTGTTAGCGAGATTGTGCGCCAACCCCATTATCCTGCCAAGCTCCGCTCACCAAAAATAAACACGGAATAGACATTCCTCTGCGGCGCAGTGGTGGAGGTAAACCAGATGGGGGGGGGGGGGGCACGTGTACAGGTCCTCATTGTCCTGTCAGCCCCTCGCGTGAACAACGCGGCTGTTGGCCGTCATTTAGAGCTCAAATGTATGTAGATCTTTGCGAACTTAAAAGCGCCAACAACCATGCCCGGTTCCCCCACCCCCAGTGCGGCTCAGATAATATTATTAAACATTACGAACGTAATGATCGAGACGATGGCTGCAAAATAAGGCGGTGGCTGTGTGACTCGGGGCTCTGAGCTATCGCGCCGCTGGGATCCTGGTTTGAATCCATGGTTAAAACCCCCTGTCTTCGAGTGTAGCGAATTAATGGTGACAGTCTGATCACCAATGACTGGCACACGAAAAATCAGCGCATTCAATTCGGTCTGTCCCTTAAATTGGGCAAAACCCACCTCTCAGAATTAATAAAATACATTTCGGTTTGACTGCCATGTGGTAAAATAAAATACGTCCATAGAGCTGCGTGTAGGAGAGTGTGCACTCCCCCCCCCCCCCCCCCGCCTAGTGTGCAGATAGGAGGCCACTTCAAGGGATCTCAGAGGTAATTCTGCGATATCTGCATCCGTGGGCTATTTTAGAACACGGGGGGATTGTTGCCTTTCTTTTAATGAAACGTGTGATAAAGGATGACTCGGAAAATAATGCCAAACGCTGCGCAGCTGCAGAGGAGTGGCGGGTGCCACCGCTCTCGGGCGAGGCGGGAGACGCGGGGCCGCCTCCTGACGCTGCGAAGCCGACGACGGCCGCCCGCTACTCGCGGGTCGCCGCGGTCCACGCCGTGGCACAGCGATCTCCACGGGGCCGGAGGCATCGGCGGAACAGCGACGGGCGCCCTGAGACACTGCCGGAGCCAAAAAACCCAACTTCGTTGTGGACCCCGCTCGATTGTCCAGCGGAGGCCCCAAGGGGCCCGTGAGGAGCTGCCAGGCCGCGGGGGGGGGGGGGGGGGGGGGGGGTTGGGGGTGGTGTGGCCCCCCGTGGCCGGCTGCCCACCGGAGGATGCCCGGCCGGGCTTCACGAGCTCCCCTTTGAGCGTCGGCGCACGCGGTTTAGCGGGTAGCCAGCCACCTTGCCGCGGGTGGTCAGCACAAACACGGTCGTACGCATTCTCAAAATGTAAACACGTCGAGCATGCACAACCTTCCCAAACACAAAGCAGCGGTGGTATTACCTCAAGTAAATAACAAACCACGCGAGCGTAACACTGCACACGGCGGGTGACGATTGAATTTCCCGATGTCACAACAACAACAACAAAACCGTAGAGACAATGTTCCGATGTGTTTCGTATTGTTCATTTTCACGAGAAACTCAAGTGCAAAAAAAAGATGCACTTGATTAGAAGACGAGAAAAAGCGTACGGCACGAGGAGCTTGTCATGCATCATGCGATTTGGACAAAAAAAAAACAATTATACCTGCATCTTGCCCGCCATCATTAGCTGTTAAATCATCTGCTGTTCTCTTTGTGTTGGCTCCTGGAGCGGATGTAAGAGCGGGGAGTACAACGGGGTGGGGGGAGGGGGGGGGAAGATCAAGATCGTGAAAAAAGTAATTTAGAAGGTACAGGTGTCAAAAAGTATTCACCGGTGGTCTCCTTTTTAGGTTCACAAAAAAGAGGGAGAGAAGAAGGCCCCCGGAGGGAAACGAACGGAGCAGTCTGAGGCGGCCATCTTCGCGAAATTGATATCAGCAAAATGGTGACATGAAGAGAGAGAGAGAGACATTTCACAATTGTGCGAGATTAAGAGACATGTTAGTGAACATTTTAATGGCTGGCGATCAATGCTCCCAAAAAAACCCACACTTCACAAATGGACCTTTAAATTTTTGTTTAAAAAAAAAACGGATTCGTACTTTGTGTCACGTGGAGCACATATTTCAACAAAAAATTTGATTATTATTTTCATGCCGTTTTCCAGGATCCTTGAGACTCAACCCCCCACCTGTGTCACAAAATGAACTCACGCTGGAACATTCACGATTACATCAGCTCAGACGTCTTACACCCGCCTGTCCATTGCACAGTGCTAATTACTTAATAAAACACACACGCGCACAACTATTCACTTTCCACACTGTAATATAGCTACATCGGAAAAGGTTACACCACCTTCACTATATTAAAAAAAAATCTGATTCAAACGATGGACGAAGCACTTGCTTGTAAAATTTCGTACACCATTCATCACATCCAAAACAGCGTGGTGAATTCAAACGCATCCTTTTATAACCGGGTTCGTCTTTCAAAAACGCTCGAAGCCAAATAATGCGGTCTGTGTGAAACGACCGCGCGGGGCTACTCTCAATGAGGCTCGCCCAAAACAGGGGCAAAGACAGCATCCCCTCCCTCCTTCTTCCTGTGCTTCCTGCAAACGAGGGCACCCCAAAGTGGGCCTATTTTTGTTGTTGTTGTTGTCTCGCTAATGAATGAGGGGGCCATTTCATCCCTCCAGCCCCGGGCTTCAAGGAACTTCCAGGCAGCCCCGAATATTACGGATAAGCGTAGATATTAGATGTAGGCCTAAGCTTATGGGTAAGCAGAATTAGGGTGTTAGTATTAGTGGTTTGATTTGGGGTCGTGAGTAGGATTAGGTGTTACCATTAGAGTTAGGATTATGGCTATGGATAGGAATAATGGCACATTTCTCTCGAATGCGTGGTTTCTACGCGTCGACTGAACTGTTAAACCACAAAACGAGGCCCCGTGAGATGCAAACCTCCCACTGCGGAGGCATCCTGCTGGGGAGAAACCCCGCAAATCGGGAACGTGCGGGCACACGGCCCAGAAGGTTCCGCCAATCAGGCAAAAAGACGCGAACGCAGACTCGCCGCACAGAACCCCTCTGCCGGTGACTCTCGGAGTCACGCGCCGTGAAGAAAGACTCCCCCAGCATTCTCTCAATCGAGCAGCGACAACAACAAAAAAAGGGCACGTGCCTACGTCAGAGGTAATTCACTTGAATCTTCAATTGAGTTGAAGGCGAGGGACGCGTTGGTTATTCCGTAGGCGCGCGCAATGACGTGCGCCCACCGCACGCACCTGGGCTCCAGCCTCTATCCACACCTCCTGCCTCCACGACCGTCACTCCACACCTCCTCACTCCATGCCTCCTCCATTCACACGACCTCAACCCACACCTGTATACAGGAGAATACCTATCATCCGCGGTGATGTTGTCTGAGAATTTACTCCAAATTATCCGCAAGAAAAAAAAGCGGATAGTTACGGATAGCAGCCAATAATAAGGGCCACGAATAACATGGGCTTTGGCAGATCGAACGGCTCCCGCAGAAAATAGAGGTCACGGTAATTGGGTCACGGATGAGAGGAGTGATCCTGTATCTATGATCTGGGGGAGCCACATGAAACATCAAGAATTCGTCGCTCAAATGATGTCCCGAGTCAGTGGCTCTTCAAACCTATCATCACTATGGGGTAACAGAGGCAGACTTAGAAACTCACCGCCCGTGGACATCAAAAGGTCCACGGGACTCGTCCTTTCACACTGACGTGGCCACAACGATTGGCCGTTGACTGGAGAAGGATCCGGGTTTATCACGTAGCTTTAATGTTTCTGCACGCGTCCGTGCGCCGGAAATTGCCGCAATTAAACAACCGCGGCCCGAGATGTAGTTCAAATACGAATGAATAGAACATTGCACGGAGGATACAAACGTTATGAAAAACTACGAATAAATTATTGCACAACCCCTGCATCCATTGCGCCACTTTTCCAAGCGTAATGGACTCGTGACACATTCCACAGAGACGCGACGGAGCTCCCCGCTACCTCTGCAATCGAGCACCCATTTCACCTCTCATAATTGCTTGGGCGCCCTCCACACTCAACAACAAAAAAACACATGCCCCTCTATCCTCCCCCCCCCCTCTTGCCATGAATATTGAAGCAGGTTCCGATGTGACGGCTGAGCTGCATTGCAGGCAATGAGCTTTGAAAAGGAACCGCTGCCATTGATGTCACACATTATTTCGGCACGGCCGTGAGACTCGTAACGCGACGCGAGCCCCGGAGGCTCACGAGGAGGGGAAACACCGCCGGGAGACGGGGCCCATCGCCGGGAGACAGGGCCCATCGCCGATAAACGGGGCCCTTTGCCGCTTAACGGGGCCCATCGCGGAGATACGGGGCCCATCGCGGAGAGACGGGGCCCATCGTGGAGAGACGGGGCCCATAGCAGAGAAATGGGGCCCATCGCCGCTTAACGGGGCCCATCGCGGAGAGACGGGATCCATCACGGAGAGACGGGCCATCGCAGAAGACGGGGCCCATCGCCAATAAACGGGGCCCATCGCGGAGAGACGGGGCCCATCGCCGCTTAACGGGGCCCATCGCGGAGAGACGGGGCCCATCGCGGAGAGACGGGGCCATCGCGGAGAGACGGGGCCCATCGCCAATAAACGGGGCCCATCGCCAATAAACGGGGCCCATCGCGGAGAGACGGGGCCCATCGCCGATAAACGGGGCCCATAGCGGAGAGACGGGGCCCATCGCCGATAAACGGGGTCCATAGCGGAGAGCCGGGGCCCATAGCAGAGAGACGGGGCCCATCACCGCTAAACGGGGCCCATCGCCGAGGGACGGGGCCCATCACGGATCCACGAGGGGCCTGGCGGCGGAAAGTCCGGCCACTGAAATCGTAAACGCGGGGAATTCGTGCCGCACCAGGGCTACCACACGGCACCCGAAGTGTTTTGTGTAATAGAGTTAGGGCCTGGGAGGTTCCAGTACAAATGAATAAAAAAAAGACTCGCAACACACACCAATCTTTGTTGAAAACCAGAGTTGTTGAAACCAAGGGGCTGCGTTCTCATGCGATTTTCTTTTTTTTAGTTTCTATTGAGGATTAGGAGATAGCGTTAGGAGTGCTGTGCCTGGCCGCCACGGTTGCCATGGCAGCGCTGGCAGGGAGCCAGCTCATTATTGAGAGACAGGCACGGGCTCCGCTGACTCACTGCCGCTCTCCTTTATACGAGCTCCGCTCCCTGACCTCTCCCCTAACATTTGAGCAATTCTTCTATAGAGGCCGCATGACTTCATGGCCCAGACGCGCGCGCAGTGGGCCGGCTCTCTCGCTCTCTCTCCTCTCTCTCGCAGGCTCGCTGCTTTCGAGCGGGATTAATTAAATTAAGCAAATATAGTGGGGACCTCAAAGTCGCCCATTAGAAACAACAATCAGCATTCGCATCAGTGCTGTGCGCGGCCTTAGGCGGCACGGACAGGTCGGGACGTCGTCGAGGGGATTGAGCGATCATCGTGCGCGGCCTGCGAGCGGCATTTATTCAACCTCCCTCCTAGAGCCGTGGTGGTGGTGGTGGTGCTGGTGGTGGTGCTGGTGGTGGCCACGGTGGTGGTGGTGGTGCTGGTGGTGGCCACGGTGGTGGTTGAGGTGGTTGCCGCGGTGGAGGCGGTTGTGGTGGTGGTGGCTGCGGTGGTTGTGTTGGTGGTGGTTTGAGGCGGCTCGTGAAAGTGGCTACAGTAACAAGCCTTGTAATTAATCCCGAGGTGCCGCGCTTATTGGATTGGACCCAGTGGGGGGGGGGGGCGAGAGAGCGGAGAGGCGATGCGGGTGACACCGCCAGCCAAGGAACAAAGACGTGGGGGCGGCCATCTGAAAGGCGGTAGCGGCCACACACGGCTCTCCGCAGTGCAAATCAATGATGTCTTCTTTCGGATAAGCTGGACGGTGATCACAAAGAGGGCTCGCTCACTGGAGGCGAGAGGTGGCGCTGGCCGTTGACCCCGGGGGTTGCCCCCCAGCTCGCCTCATTAGCTGCACTTCCATCCCGCGAGGCGCAGGGGTGGCAAGGTGGGTGGGGGGGGGGGTGTCGCCCCCCAGCTCGACATCCCACACGGTCGGTGGGGGCGGCAAGAGGGAGGGGGGGGGGGCACTCGCGGAGTCACCGCGGCTCGACCGAGCGCCGTCGTGAGCGGCTCCGTGGCTCGCAGTCAGAGCTCGCGAACCGACGTAGGCAGGAGGCCCACGTGTCGGGCGGCAGTCTTAGCCCTCTTGCTGTGTAGGAGGGACAGGGACGTGCATCGAGCGCGGGGCGGATGCCGTGTGGGTAAGCAGGGTCCGTTGGCGCTAGCGAGCCACCGCTCCGGGGACGGATCCGGGGAGCGGTGTCCTCTCTCAGCGAAGGATGAGAGAGAGACCCATGAACGGTAGTCAGGCTCGAGTCCCCGTTGGGTCCGGCCACGATGTCTCAACTCCCTTGGGTCGGCGGCCTCAGCCACAGAGCGGCCGTCCGCAGCAGGCCCATGCCGAGCGAAGCACCGCGGCTTTCAACACTTTTCCCCGTGCGCAATGCAATGCGCGCGCAGCAGTGCGATAGACGAGCAGATTAGCGACGTTAAACTCTCATTCACATTAACTGAGCAGTTCACCCCCCCCACCCCTCGATCCCACAAAAATATAATTGCATAATTAACGTGCTGTCTGTGAGTTTTAATAA